TTGGGGTGTCCGGGGGAGGGGTTGGGAGGTGGGGGGATGATACACGTGTGTGTGTGTGTGTGTCTGTACATGTGTGTACATGTGTGTACATGAGTGCGCACTGACACAAAACTGTTCCAATTCCAGGTAAGATTGTGTCATGGGAGGAACATCAGATTTGTGTCATGGGGGGGGAGGGGACACGTCCCACCTCGGTGCCGCTGATCCAACCTCAGGAAGCTTCCATTTCCAACCTATCCCCGTCCCTCTCTCTCCTGCTTTCATCCAGGATGAAGCCTATTTTCCTTGTACTGATGGTTTTTCCCTCAGTCAGCTCTTTCAGCAGCAGCGAGTGTTCCAGACACTGGGCTGATAACAATGAAGCAATTCCAGAGTGGCCAGAAGGCACACACTTCGGCATGGCAGCACAAGAAGTGCTTTGATCCACAACCCTCTCTCACAGACAACGCCTTAAGGACACAGCACTTTTGTCATCCCCTCCCCAAAGGACACACGACTTCCCTGGTCTATCCCTGGTAGCCATTTGCCATTTGTACGTTTTCCCTAAACCTCATCCCACAGTTTGTGTTCAGCCTTAATCAAGTGGTTAATTCGTAAACTAAACATGGGTCTCAGCAGCACTTTGTGGGTGTGGTGGGGGTGCATTCCAACTGCCACTCTCAAACACAGTTCCGCAGCGCCCGTTCCTCTGTGAGAGGCGAACGCCGCGTGTGACCCTCGGGCTCATTCAACAGCCCCTCCAAACTGGGAGGGAGGGGACGTTGCGGAAGCACCTGACAGCTGATCCATCCCCTGGCATCAGCTCGTGACACCACGAGCCTTCCACCACACCTTCTGGTGCCTCTGGCTGGCAGCCAAGCTACCGTGTGCCTGGGCACATGGGGGACTGCTCCTTCTGGAGTCTGGGCATGGCACGGGTGGCAGGGCCACTCAGCGCTGTCGCCCTGAAGAGCTTTCTCTCATGATCCTGCTGGAGAGGCGAGAAGCCTGAAGAGCTGTTCTCCTCACTGGACTCGGGTCTGGTGGCAAAGTCACAGCCTGGGGTGGTCTCAGCAAGGGCAGCTTTCAGCTTGGTTCCCTTGCTTTGGTTGTCCTTCTCCTCTCTCTTTGGTCTTCCTTTCTTCTCTCTCCCTGAGCCCAGGACCAGCAGGCAATGGGCGCGGGATCATTATTGGCCTCGCATTCCCTGCTTTGCAGTCTTAGGCTGCAGCTCCCGGGTCTACGTGCAGCTCGTGATGAAGTCCCAGCCAAGGCCCCCACCCTGCGCTATTGGCATCGATTCTCCTCCAGTTGTATCTTCCTTTTTCTGTTACCTCTCTCTATTA